AACTGGCTAGAGCATCTTTTTAGTAATTTTTAAGTGAGTAAATTATTTTCGGGTGACATGTATTAAGTACTAACTGTGCTAGGCACTTTGCACTTGATACCTAGACCCTTGCAACTCAAAGTTGTGACCTGTGGACCAGCAGCATGGAAGCTTATTGACAGTGAAGACTCTCTGGCTTCACTCCAGACCTACTGAATCATGTCAACAGTTTAACAAGATCTATATGTGCATTAAAAGTTCGGAAGCACTGACTGGCCCAGAGTAAACACTTAAAATAATCTCTTAACAATCCTGCAACAACACCTCAAGGCAGATATTATCATGCCCAATTTATAGATGAGAAAACCAAAGCTCAGAGATATTATTGGCCATTCTAAGATTTCACTGCTTTTAATAAAGTTAGGTTTGTCTGGCTTCCGAGTTTATTATGTAACCACTTAAAGCATGCTGTCTCCCAGCTAGGGAGTTCATTTGTGGGGCAACTCAGAAAAGGATATATAGCATGTGTTTACACAAAAACAACCAGTCATCTTGATGATCTATAATAATAAAAGCATAATATGCTAATTAGACCGGACGACCTTCCTGACGAAGCCAGGGCTGCGAGGGAAGCCAGGGTCTCCGCTGCCTGCTGGCGGCCGGAGGGAAGCCTGAGTCCCGGGTGACAGAGGGAAGCCTGGTGCTGGCAGCCGGGGGTAGGAAGGCCTCCTCTTACATGAATTTCGTGCATCGGGCCTCTAGTAACACCGATAACAGAAAACCAAGCTGCTGTGATGCAAGCAATCACTTGCTCCACTGAAAGATCTTTTCACTTTCAAGAAGTTATTATGGTATCATGTAGATAGCTAAATATTTCAGAGTGGTCAGGAAAACAAACAAACTGGAGCAATTATCAAACTCACTCCCCTTGACAGTGACTGTTGATCCAAATATAAACCAAACTGCAAACCACAGCTCTCCCAGAACAAAAGGTTTTGCTGTAAACCAAAATAACTGGTAAATGCACTTAAAAAACAAAACAAAACAAAACTACCACCCAGTTTCATAGTAGATAGGCAGGAAGGGCAGGTAGTTGGCTGCTGTTTCACTTTCCAACCAGCCGGGGGGGTCTAAGCCTACATATATAGCTCTGTGCAAGCGTGAATTGCTTACACTGAGAAGGAAGCCTTAAATGCCTGAACACTGCTGGGCAATGCAATAGGCCCTTTTGTTTTCTGGGTAGCTTTTTGAAAGGGGTATTACAGGGAAAGAGAAAAATCATCATTCCTGGAGCATCCCCCACTTTAGCAGGAACTCATTAGATTTTAGGAACTTCTCCCCTCTAATCCTGGGAGATTAGGCCATTTCCTTCTCTCTGCTGCCCTAATGACTTTAGGGACCTGCATTACTGGATCAGCATGGCAATGAGCTGATTTGATGATTAATTAGACTCTAGCAGGAACCTGATGAAGTTCTCAGTTCAAAGCCCCGGGGATCCTGTTCAGGGCAATCTGCCCTAACACACAGACACACAAACAGGCCAGGTGAAAAGGCACACAAACTGTCCTGTGATTGACTGTCACAAGGGTTATGATTCACTTTCTACTTACAACCAGATGACCCGGATACAACTTGCTGTTGTGAAACAGTAATCCCGAAAAGTAGTAAACCTACTGGCTCAACAAAGCTAATTGCCTTTATATGTGAAATCAAACTCCTAGTATATCATCTCTGCCTTATAAATAGGTATTTGGATCACTTTATTCCACATTCTTTTTAAAAAATCCCACATTATAAACGGAATGACCAAAGAAAAATTCTGAGATGTTCTAAATTACAGCAGCTGGAGAGTAAGAAAGGAACAGGAAGAGTTAAGCAGTTAATAGCTGTGGGGCAACTAACAAGAATTGCTCACATTCCTGAACATATGTGGGAGCTTTGAATCAATCTTCTGGCATCTATTAACTGACCACTAGATGCCATAGCATCCTGCATATGCATGAACTTTCAGGACTGTGGCCTGTAGCCAGTCAATAGTGAATATTTCTCCCTTACAAACTGTGCACTCACCGTAAAGCTGACTCTGCTTCACCTTTTCCTGCCCACCTTATCTGTAGCCAATGTAAATTCTTTCAAAACAACTTACATCGTTCCTTTCCAAAACAAGATATGAAAGAACCTGCAACTCCAGGTCAAAGGGCATGCTGTCTTTTCCATCTGGCCATGCTGCTGGTGGTTTAGACTTCATGCCCCAGAACCTTCTGGATAGCATATGGCTCAATATTAACCCTTTCTTTTAAAACAGACTTTAGTCGTGGAATTTTTGTTTAACACAGATTTCATAATAGTTTATGGCTAACTTTGCCATCATGCTAAAAAATATAATGAATACTAAAAATTGACTCAATAAATAAATAAAAATTGACTCAAAATAGGCCAAAAAAGCCATATATGGCAAAATAGACAACGTTTTGAGTTATTTTAAGAATGTTTTTCTAAACATTGAAGAAAATTTTAAAACAGGTTTAGTACTGTACTTGAATGTTTTATCACTATATTTTCCTCTGAAACTTTTACAATGACGTTTCTAAGATATATTTATCTAATCTTTGTAAGGTTAAGAGGGCAGTTATTATTTATACCTCTTTTGCAAATGAAGAAACTGAGGCTCTGAGAGTGGAAGTTAATTGGCATCCACAAGAAGGCTGCTCAGCAAAGAAGGGCAGGGCCAAAATTGGCACCCAGACCATAACCTGTCCTGTCTTCCTTCCGTTTACCACAGGTGGAAGAAAAAGACAGCACACAAGTAGTCACATAATTATCCCCTTAAAAATCCATGGCAGCTGATAACATCTCAGGATTATTAAATCAGTTGGAAATATCTTCACTTTGGAAATTACAAATTCTACTTGGGTTATTTGGCAAGGTAGAAGACGTTGAGACATGAGTAGCTGCATTCTTCATGCATATTGAAGGCCCTTGGGTTGTAAGCTGTGATGTGGACCCAGAGCAGTGGCAGTTGATGTAGGGCACCTAGCTAGATGCTTTCTCTCTTTCCCTCCCACGCTGCTCCTCATCCTCTCCTCACCTGTGGCCCAACAGCATGGTTGTTGCAGGGGAAAGCGATGAATGTTCTGGAAGGCAGGGGCCCCTACTCAGAAAGTAGGGAGCTGGAGCACCATTGCTCTGACTTCAAGAAGGAAGAGAACATTCACTAAACTGTAGTGTCTACTGGCCCAAAGTCAGATATCCGCCGTAGCTCTACCTCTGGGGCTGGCTCTTAAAGGGAACCATTTGTTTGAAGTCATTTCTTCTAAAGGGCACATCCTAAAAGGTCTGAGTGGATTTGTGTATGTGCTGCTATCCAGTTGAGAGTAGTGTTCTTTGTGACATGAACAGCAAGTTAAGTTTGTGCAAAGAAGAAAGATTGCAGAACAGTCCAGGGAAGAAGAGGATAGGGATTCCAAGTTAATCTGAGCCATGGAACCCCCGTGGCTTCACTTCTGCTAGCCCTACCTGGTCTTAGCATGACTTTCAGTCAATATTTTATGATGTTATGGGCTCTAGAGGGCCCTGTAGAGCTCTTTCCCACAAGGGAGTCCTAGGAGTTGGACTCCAGGGGATTTGGGCTCCAGTTCAGATTACCTCAAGGAATGATTATTGTAGATATGTAGATAACACACACACGATCAGCCCAGGAAATAAATTCCATATATGAACCACTTACATTTGAAAGGCCCCTGTTGTTGAAGGCAAGACTGTTTAATCTACATTTAAAGAAAGAATTTCTGAAATTTTCTGTGAGCCTTCCAGGCTTCCTGCATCACTAGGTAAAAGGAATAGAAAAGAGAGATGTAAAAAAAAAAGAAAGAAAAGAGATGTTTGTTTTGGACAGAACAGAGTGTGATGGAGATATCAGCACACGAGAGGGCATTTTGTAACACTTAATGTAAAGATAAGAGTTTTGCTAATTATTGATTAAGTGTATGGAAGCAAACAATGTCCTTGCTCTAAAATTTTTGTATAAAATACCTTAACACTCCCCAAAAATCAAGGTTCTGGTTTGTGGTGGGGGCTGTATGGACACTTGGAAGAGATATTGTAGAGGGAATCTGGGCACGGGAAGGGAGATTGGGCTGGAGAATTCACTAATTCAAGCCTGAGATTCTATGAAAACTAGAGGTGCCAATCCTTTCTTAAGCAAATTGTACTCTTTAAAGTACAAAATTATAGAGATGGAGAACAAATTAATGGTTACCAGAGTTCATGGATGGTTGGGGTGGGTGTGATTATAAAGAGGTACACCAGGGTGATTTTTGTGATGATGGAATAGTTTTGTATCTTGATTGTGGTGATGGTTCCACAAATCTATACATGTAATAAAATAGCTATTCACACACATTGTACCTATGTCAATTTTCTGGTCTTTATATGGTACTATATTTACATACGATGTAATCATTGGGGAAGACTGGGCAACTTCCTATAAATCTATAAGAAGATTTTTTATTTTATTATTTCAAAATAAAAAGTTAAAAACATCTCAAGCACAATCCTGCATTTCTTTTAAGTGCTCTATAAAAGCCTTCCTTTATCTAATTTTTATTTTGAGAGAACCCTACCCCACTCCCCTCCCCACACACATACACGCTATAACACCTTGATTCTTGAGAGTTAGAACTATGGACTTAGGAAACATTTTTCTTTTCCATCTTAATTTCTTTTCTTTTTTTAGGGGGGTTTTTTGTTGTTCCACTTATTTTTTAATATATTTTTATTGATTTTTTTTACAGAGAGGAAGGGAGAGGGATAGAGAGTTAGAAACATCAATGAGAGAGAAACATCAATCAGCTGCCCCTTGCACACTCCCTACTGGGGATGTGCCCGTCACCAAGGTACATGCCCTTGACTGGAATCGAACCTGGGACCCTTCAGTCCACAGGCCGACGCTCTATCCACTGAGCCAAACTGGTTAGGGCTTAATTTCTTCATTGGGGAAAAAAAGTCAGAATGCATGTTCTCTTCTTTTCTTTTAATTAACAGATCTGATGTTTCGGATGCAATTATTTGGTTGGTAATGCCTTGAGCAGACTGGGAAGATTCTACATCTGACTGAGCCAGCTCTTCTCCCTGTCATGAAAACAAAACAAAACAGAAACATGTTAAATTCCTTTTATGCCTTTGATGTAAATAGAAGCATAAGGATAGGAAGGAGGGAGAGTTGTCTTGTGGTTCTGAAATAAGAGGCACCCAGTCATCACACAAAGCAAAGAGGTTCCTTTCAGCTCAGAGGGAGCTGTGCTTCTGGGGTTCAGAACCATGGAGAAATTGACCCAGGAGATCAGGGACTTGGAAGAATAACAATTCAGCTAGCTTCAGAGAGGGGGCAGTTTGAGTGGAATGTAGAAATATGAACCAGCTTCTCCTTCCCACCTCCCCAAGTACACCAGAAGAGGAATTGAGAGAGCCTGAGCCCTTCAGTGTGAATAGGTGGTTGTAAGGGCAGGTTATAAAGGGGTTTGGAAGAGAGCACTACTGAAGACTGTCAGCTTCCTGACACTATCTCCTAGAGGCCCCATCTTGGTTTTCATAGATTCCAAGTTTCTGGCTGAAACTTCTTCAGTACATCTTATCTGGCCCATGAAACCAAGCACTTGACTATAAACTGTCTCATATTATTTTGAGTCACAGAGGCCTAGGTTCAAATCCTAGTCCTACCACCTACTAGCTATGTGATTTTGGGCAAGTTGTCCTAACCTCTCTGCCCCGCAGTTTGCTCATCTATTAAGTGGGAGTAATACCTGCTTTACAGGGTTTGTAAAGTTTCTGGCACCTAACAGGTGCTTAGCAAATGTAACCCTTCTCTTCATTGTTTCTCAGGTGAAGGCCACATTACTCACTAGATTGGAAGTTTCTTGAGAGAGGTTCTTTCTGATCTCTAACCCCCGCCCCCCCACCACCACAGTAACTAGCATAGGGTTGGGCACACAGCATGTGGTTAATGAGTCCTTGTTTGCGAGGCTAAATAGAGCTTTCCTGGCTACTTCAGTGATGTTAACGAAGATCCAGAAATAAGTATAAGGGAACATCAACATTCCATTTCAAAGATATGAAGTTAACATGCTGAATTCTTTACTTCCTTGATACATTGTTATTATAAAACTGTCCATGTGATAAGGATTTTTTTTTGTACAAATGTAATTTGTGACAAATATGTAGTCCAAGTAAAATTAGTGGCTTAAGAACCTTGACAAATTGGCTTCTTGATCAGTTTAGCACATGTGGAGCAGTAAAAAAATCAATTATAGACTGATGTGCTTATAAGCACAGGATTCAGAAGGTTATCTATATATATAAAAGCCTAAGTGACCCTTATGACCGGATGACTGGATGACCGGCCTGTAGCTATGACGCACACTGACCACCAGGGGGCAGACACTCAACTCAGGAGCTGCCCCCTGGTGGTCAGTGCATTCCCACAGCCAACCTCCCTTGGCCAGCCAACCTCCCGTGGTCCCTCCCCCCAGCCAGCTGTCCCCGATAGGGACTGGGTGAGATGGCCCTGATCATCCCCGAACACCAGCCAGGTGGAGGGACCCCACCTGTGCATGAATTCATGCACCAGGCCTCTAGTTAAATATAGAAAAATAATCTGAAATTGACCAAGTCACATCTATACTCCAGTCATTGTCTTGAGACCATACTTCAGTCTACAGTCGTTTGTGTGATCCAGTGGAAAGAGTAATGGATCCGTAAATGAAGAACAGAGCTATGGTCCCAGATTTAGTCATCCATTCACTCATTCAGCCAACAAATATTTACTGAGCGCCTACCATGGGGCCAGGCTCTATGCTTCTCAGACATGGCTCAGCTCTGCATGGAATTTCCTATCAGTAGTTGTGATCTATGGGAAGTCACTTCATCTCACTGGGTCTCATGCTCCTCGTCTATCAAATGGTGACAAATCTATTTATATAATAATTATGAGAATTCTATGAAGAATGCAGGGGCCAGAGCCTTACAGACTGTGGATTGTTCTCTATTATTGTCTTCTATGTAATGGTTACATGAATAACTTGTGATCATTTGAAAATTATGTTCAAAGTCTATTTCAAGGGGGCTGAGCATGTTCTGTCTGCTCAGTTTCCTTCCTTACATGTTGGCAGTGCCAACCAAGACCAGAGTGAGCAGAAGGGACAGAGGGCCCTATTATATTGGGCTTATGCACTATATCAAAATGGCACTCCACTTTGTGTTCTCAAATGGGTTGGATTTCAGACATGGTTCCTGTTATCGGTTAAATTCACTCCCATTCAAGTTCTAGCCCTGGGCACCTGTGAATGTGACCTTATTTGGAAATGGGTTAAGATGAGGTCTTTAAGGTGGGCCCTAAACCAATATGGCTGATGTCCTTATAAGGGAAATTTGGATATAGACACATATATAGAGAGAACACACAAAGACACAGAGGGAAGAAGACCATGTGAAGATGAAGGCCAAGTTTGAAGTTATGCAACCACAAGCTAAGAATGCTAGGGGCTACCAGAAGTTGGAAGAGGCAAGGAAGGATCCTTTCCTGGAGGCTTCTGAGGGAGCATGGCCTTGCCACACCTTGATTTCAAATTGCTAGCTTTTGGAACTGTGAGAGAATAAATTTCAGCCACCCAGTTGGTGGTCATTTGTTACAGCAGCCCTAGGAAAGTAATATAGTCCCCAAAAGAAATAGCTCCACAACATACTTCTTTCTGCCCTCCATGTAGTCACGGTGCCCTCATTTTCTGTATGTGAATCCACATAAAAAATGATGCCTTCATCCTGGTGCGTAAAAATGTGGGTCTCCAGAATGGCCAATAAAGCTTGTGTGGAATGCTGAATTCCATTTTATGTTGTTCAAATAAATCAAAATGGAAGGCAAGAGTACCCTCCCACTCATTTACCACCTCTGTCTCAAGTTTGATGGAAAATAGTAAGAGAAGGCAGTCATGGGATCTACTGAGCAAACAGTTATTTTGGGAAAGTCATGGAGTCCATTTTGTGCCATGATAAGGGCCAGCGGGGCTTGCAGGAGAACCAACCTCATCCGAGGTGTTCAATCACTGCAAAGTATCATTGTGTTTTAGAGCCAAGCTGCTAGCTTGTCTCCTAGACTCCACTCTTGCAGCCAACCAGAGGCTGCTGTCCTAGTGAAGGAGGTGTCCCTTCTGTAGGACAAATGAATGAATAATATTAATCAATGCATATGTATTATTTTGAAAATTTACTATTTGGCAACCACCATAGTAATTGATTCAGGCAAGTGTCATAAATGGATCCTAAAACAAATGAGTGAAAGTTTGATGTGGAGCATAATATTTATGTACTCTCAAAGTATCTTCTCATATATTAGTTATTAAGTACAAAGTGAAAAAAAGTATCTTTATAGTGGAAAGACCTGGCAGGTATCATCTTAACCAAGTAATCAAAGTTAACACCACCAACAATCATGTACCTTTTTATGTTTTACTCCTGCCATAAATGCATAACTTCTCATTATGAGGGCATATCAGGCAAACCCAAATTAAGGGATGTTCTACAAAATAGCTGGCATGTACTCTTATAAAGTGTTGATGCAATGAAAGCCAAAGAAAGGTTGAAGACTGTACCAGATTTAAGGAGACTTCAGAGAATTAAGAGACATGACAACTAAATTCAATGTGTGATCCTAGAATGGATCATGGACCAGAAAAATAAAATAGCAATGAAGGACATTCTTGGGACAATTAACAAAATTTGAATATGATCTGTATATTATATAATAGTGTACAGTATCAATGTTATATTTCTTGAATTTGCTAACTTTACTATGTATATATAACAGAATGTCCTTGTTCTTGGAAACACATTGAAAGGCAAAGGGAAATAATGTCTGCGACTTACTCTCAACTGTTTCAGAAAAAAGTGTGTGTGTGTAGAGGGGGGGAGAGAGAGAGAGAGAGAGAGATAGAAAGAGAGAGAGAGAGAGAGAGAGAGAGAGAGAGAGAGAGAGAAAGATAATAAGATGCTAGCAACATGAATCTTTGTAAAGGGTATGTGAAAGTTCTTTTTGCCATTTTTATATAGAATTTTCTGAAAGTTTAAAGTATTTGAAATTTTAAAAAATTAAATATATTATTTTGAGCATTTAACTATGTGCCCGATGCCATGTAAGCGTGAGATATTCATAGAAGACAGGGTCGCCCTAACCGGTTTGGCTCATTGGATAGAGGGTCGGCCTGCGGACTGAAGGGTCCCAGGTTCGATTCCGGTCAAGGGCATGTACCTTGGTTGCGGGCACATTCCCAGTAGCGGGTGTGCAAGAGGCAGCTGATCGATGTTTCTCTCTCATCGATGTTTCTAACTCTCTATCCCTCTCCTTCCTCTCTGTAAAAAAATCAATAAAATATATTTAAAAAAAAAGAAGACAGGGCCTCTGTCCTTAATACAGGAGTTCACAACCTGGGGTGCACTGGACAAATAAAGAGACATCAGCCCCCAGATTGGTAAATATAAGTAACTTGGACAAGGGCATGACCTCCATATTAGTTAGGATTGCCAATAATAGACTGTGAGGTAGGAAGAGAATGTGAAGTGATCATAAGAAACTAACGAAGTGATTTTTCAAGAACAGGATGAGCTTTACCAGCAATAAGGATAAGGTAGTATCCAATTAACACAACAGGATGGGGAGAGATTGTTGTTAATAGGAAAAATCCTGAGAACAGTACCAGGTCCCATAATAAAGGGAAATCAGTGAGGCAGTGCTGCTGTTTGAGAAGTTGATTGGGGAATGGGAATTTCCACTCAATTATGAGATACAAGAGCCAGGATAAGAAAGTACATGAATGTCCTAGCAAAGGCCTGGTGGGAGGTAACATTTTATCTTTTATTTGAAAACTTTCATATTGTGGAAAATTTACAAAAATAATTAGAACAGCACTAGCTTAAACCGTGTGAAATTGCCAAAATGTGACAATTTTTTAGTTAAAAATGGCAATTTCATGTTTCAAATGAAAATGAAGCCCATATCCCATCACTCTCCTTCAGCAATTATTGACACATGGTCCATTTCATTTAATCCCCAAACCCACCCATTATTCTGGCAAACCTGAGTT